CGCCCTGCACCTACCCGCGGGCCTCTCCGCGCTCCCCGCGCGCCCCTGCGGGTCCGACGCCCGGTGCCACCTCCGCGCTAGCCGCGTGTCCTCTCGCTGCCCCGGGGCCCTCTTTTTCGGTCCGTCTCCCTCGCAGCTTGTCCCTTGCCGCCGCCTCCCGCGTCCCCGGTGCCAGCTCACACCCCCACACTCTCCGCCCTCTGCCCGGGCGCCCTCTCCGCCCCTGCGCAGCGGCCTCCTGCTGACCCTGGACCGGATCTCTGGCCCTCCACCGTGAAGTTCCTCACTACCCTCCCCTGGATGGCTCTCCCGGGCTCTGGGGCTGTTTCTAGCCTGTCATTCGCCCTCCAGCAACCTCTTCATGCCACTTCTCCTAAACCCATATCCAGACCCTGCCCCAGGGGCCCCTTCAAGAGATCTCCCTGCCGGCTGAAATCAAAGGAGGCCCCATCTCCCCTGCGGGGTAAAGGGCAGAGGGGAACCAGGCCCTGGAAGGGAACGCAGATCCTTACTTAGACTTCCCTGGCCTAGGTGGAGCCTTAGAAAAGGCTTAATCCTCAGAGCAGGCATTTATTGAGCTCCTTCTGCATGCACATCCAAAAATAAGAGTCAAGATACTTCCAATATTCTCCTGCTGTAGATAAAGTCAGTATGTCCTGGTGGTGCTGCTGCATGTTAGGTGTGACTCATTAACGACCCTATGAACAATAGATCTGAACCCTGTCCTATCCTGTGCAGTTCTTATCATCTCTGACATACTCATTACAGCAGTCACTGTGTCATTTCATCTGGTTGGCGGTCTTCCTCTCTTTCGCCTCCCCTCCACCTTCCTAAGCATGATGTCCCTCTGTTCTAAGAACATGCCCAAGTATGTGAGACAAAGCTTTGTCATCTTTGCCTCCAAGGCGCACTACTCCGGCTACACTTTCTCCAAGATGTATCTACTTGTTCTTTTGGCAGTCCATGGAATATTCCTCTTCAACACCACAGCTCAAAGACATAATTATTTTTTTACATCAATTATTTTTTTTTATTATTTTGTGTGTGTGTGTGTGTGTACCGTCAAATCAGATCTGACTGGTACAGGAGGAGATTGTCCCTCCTTCCCCGGCAGAGCATCTGGTTGGTTCGAACCGTGTGCCTCTGGGATTGTAGTTGCAGTTCCTTGCCACTAGGCCACCAGAGCTCCCACATCAATTATTTTTATGTCATCCTTAGTCATTGTCCAGTTCTCAGATGCATAGCAAGTGAGAGGAGGGCATTTGCCTGAAGTCACTCCTCTAGAAACAATCCTAACAACAGCTACTATTTAAATGGGAGTGCAGGGCAACACGGTCCTAGGCAGGGAACTTTCAGTAGACCATATCATACCTTCACAGCCCTGTTCATTTATTCAATAATTTTTTTCTGAACATCTGCTATGTGTCAATCCCTGTGTAAGATGCTGAGGATACAAATAAGCGAAGCGCAGAAGAGTCGATGTTACTCAAGGGTAGGCATGAGATGGGTATGGGAGACTATGCCAGGAGACTAATAGTCCCAGAAAAATGCAAGGAGGCTCTGAACCTAGTAGAGGCAGTGAAGATAGAGAGGAATGGCTCCCAATCATTGAAATCTACAAATGTTTCTGTGTTTGTTTGCACTTTCTTGCATTAAGTAGTAAAAGAGTGCTACCACCCACTAAATTGATTGCTAGGCAATGCCCTGCTGTATATCCCTATACAATCTTTACTATCCCCATGTTACAAATAAGGAAATAGAAGCTTCAAGAGGTTCAATCACTTGCTGAGGTTCACAACGCATGCTAGTGTTGGAGCTGGAGTTAGAGCTGGTGCCAGTTTCCAAATATGATGCTGGAACCATTACTTTCAAAGCCAAGGCAAAGAACCAAGTTTCCTTGACACAGCCAAGGGTTCTTTTCATTAGATCACAAGTTCCTTTGAGACTTCCAGAGAAAAGTCAGGGGTCTGGAATTGGGCTTTAGGCCAGAAGTGCAGGTCCTGTGTGAGATGTCTTTTCCACCGAAGCCTGGAGAGGTGTCAGCATAGAATTCTGCAGCCTCATTCTAAAGTTCACATGGGGTTGGTTGAGAGACACTAAGGCATGAAACTGAAGAGGCAATAAAGGAGCCATTCTCAGCTTAGAAATGCATTCCAAGGCCCTTTGCTGGTGAGAAGGGAACATGGGTGCCAAGAGGCAAGACAAGCTAAAAGCATAACAAAAGTGCAAGAAGCCTAGATGTGAGTCAGTCCAGGCTCATGGGAAAAGGCTAATAAATAAATAAATTACCCAGGAAGCCTGAAGTCCCAGGCCCTGTCAAGCAAGGCAGAATCTAAAGCTTTTCCTCTTCTTCGACCTCAATACCCTTCCCAGTTCTAACCACCAATTCTATCTTGAATTATTCATACTGTGGGCTGTGGAAAGCTGGAACTTCCGGAAGCCTCTAGTCTTAGACATTCAGCTATTTCTCCTCAGGCAGTGGTGTCACTAGGATTGTTGTCACCTACTTCCTGTCATACGGGATCATACAGAATAGTCAGCAATGTTTATTATCAATTTTAATTGTAGACTAATACATGATATAATTGTAAAGTGCTTAAATGATATATTTCTTCAATTATGTGAATACTAACAACAGAATCGTTTTGTAAGATTTTTCCACATTGAATTACAACATCATTAGTAACTGAACGGGAGCCTTTTTTTCTTTTTCTCCTTCACTCCCTTTAATCACTAATTCATTCCCCAAAAAAGTTACTTATATTGCATCATTCATAAAACATTATCATAACTGGGTAATGACAGCTCTTAAGTAACAGCACATTAGAAGATTAAAAAAATAAGCAGAGTTTTATCCTTATAGATATATCAATGCATCCAAGTTGTTTGTTGTTGTTATGTGCCATCGAGTCGTTTGTGAGCCTCCATGTACAACAACCCTAAACCCTGCTCTATCCTGTGCCAATCGCATTGCCTATGACACACCCATCCCGATT